CGGCTCTGAGCTGAGGAAATCCTCAGGATTGAGTGTGCGTGTGTGTGCAATATACCGGCGGGCCAGATCTAATAGGAATTAAAAATTATCCTGCGGGCCGAAATTAAATCCACCAAGGGCCTGATTTGGCCCCCGGTCCTTGAGTTTGACACATGTGCTAAGTTATTGTTCCATGTTGCTTTAATATTGCTGGTTCGAGCTCTATAGAGAAAGAATGTCTTCACCCTTTGATACTACATATGAGAGGACTGTGGTTGTGCAAAGCTTTCTCACAGAGTGTGAAAAGGACAGCTGTGTGTGACTGGCCTTGTCATCGCACTCCAGCATTCAGAAATTGAATTGTCAGGGACATAAAACTCCAGAGTTGGCTGTTGAAAGAATAGGGCTGATGTTGCATGTGACATATTTTTAGTCCAGCTTGGCCAAGGCTACCTTTGTTTTTGGAACATCAGACTGAGCCTCAGTGCCATAGGATCATTGAGGGTGTGTGTGTTTATCTGTGTGTGCAATTATGTGAGACAAGACGGTGGTTGTGGGTGTCAGAGGATTGGCATGTGAAAAAGTGCATATTTCAGCCTGTGCGTGTGTGAGTGATGGTTACAGTTTGAGAGAATTGCGTGTGTTGGATGAAATGAGAAAACACCACTTCCTCTTTGCTGGGTTGAGTTGACGTGTGAGGAGCTTGGATGGTTTGTCTGTGTGTATCCGTTAGTGTGTGAGAGTGTGTGTATGTATGTACACAGCTGCCATTTGTATTTAAAAAGTCACCACTTCCTGTCCATGGGTATATTAGTCAGGAAGCCCATAACGAACAATAACCCATATGGACGTGTGTGGGAACAATGTGCATACATCAGTTTTCAATGTGTAGTGTTAGTGTGTGTGTGCTCATCTGCAGGGTTGGGGGTCCTGCAAGTAATTCCCAATTTCAAGAGACGTAACAGTAATCCAATTTTTTATTTTTATTGAACTTTAAGGGAATACAGATACCTTTTATTGAATTACGTAATCCCGTTACATGTAATCCACTACTTCCCAAGCCGGTTCATCTGGCATGTGGCATTTAAAGTACATTTGGCACAATATGGGGTTAGGATTACAATAAAAAGCTGAACATAATTCTCTGTAATGTTATGTTACATTTTCTCTTTCACTGTGACCATAAATGCATAATGACACAGTGGGATTCTGTGATGAATTTCTGGGTTTAAATGTGTTTTTGCAGCATCATTTGGTCAGTGGTTAAGAGGAAGCACATGTCAACTGAAATACAGTTCTCAAACAGACTTTTAGGCCTGAGTTTAAGAGAACCATATAATGAAGGGATAATTTAGCCGTACTAGTATCACAGATTCCTATCCTTGTTGTGTCCACAATAAAAAAAATGAATGCATCAATAATCATAATCTTATATATATTATTCTGAAATGGGACATTAAGCATAACACTTACTTTTAGTACTTAATGTATATTTTGACCCTAATACTTTGGTACTTTTACTACAGTAAGATAATACGTATATTGGAAAAGTCTTGGGACAGTGGTTAGTTGCACCTGTAGAAGTTATTTTGTAATATTTTTTATGATTGGACTGTTTTGATTCCAAAAGATAAAAATATTCTTCTTAACTATGTTCAAAGATGTTGTATTCAACTCATTCTGTTTGCTTGTTGGATAAGTTGCTAAGTAATTCGATATTTGGCGAACGTTAGCTAGCTTTTAAAGTAGAAAGCTAACGTTAGCTAGCTAGCTGGTTAAGTAAATAGCTAACGATAGCTAGCTAGTTTGATAGCTAGTTAATGTTCGCTAGCCAGCTTAACTGACATTCACTAGCAAGCTTGTTATAGTTAGTGTGTACTTTTATAGTTTTGTCATAGCAGAGACACTGCAGAGTTATAAAAAAGGTCCTATGAGATCGACTTTTCGCAATTTTCATCCTTCCAACCACTAACAAAGGATGGATGTGTTACTGTAATGCCAATCCATTGGCACAGTGTAGCTGTGAATGATCCCAAATAATATACAGTGTTATCAGCTAGTGCTAAACCGGAACAACTAACACTTTTTAGTTAAAACCGAAAGTTTCATCATTTGCTTTAGTGTTCGTTTTTTGTCTTTTTGTTGTGACACTTAACTAAGTGACTATGAAGCCAGACAGGCAGACAAGAGACATTTAACCCTGTTTCCCTAATAAAACACAAATTGGTTTAGTGTGTTTGTGTGTGTGCGTGTTTACTTTATCTGCTGTCAAACAGACTGGTGGAGCCTCATAATCTTCTCCACATTGTGTGTGTGTGTGTGTGTGTGTGTGTGTGTGTGTGTGTGTGTGTGTGTGTGTGTGCGTGCGTGCGTGCGTGCGTGTGTTGGGATCCTCCCTGTTAAACTCCTCTGAACTGTGACAATGACTTGGATGCCGTCCTATTTACTTCAACAGACTGGAACTAAATGTCTGACAGTCACACGCTAACACACCCAAATTGGCTATGAGCAATGTTTTGATTTGTTTTAGCTCATCAAACATAATTAAAACAACATTACATCTATAGACCATTTAAAGCAACATCTAGTAACTCTGGTGAAAGCTTTAGTTAATTATAAGGATGTCTGGGTCGTATTATCTTTTAGATGATTCAGCTGCACTGAGTACCATTCCTGTAATGTTGGACAAAATTAAAATTAGCAGGCAATTTCTTCTTAGGGCAGATACGAATCTGACTCCCAGGATGTAAACTGTGTGAATAAGCCTGCCATCGGCCAGACTGAAACAAAGTGTGGAGATAAGTCTGGTTGCTAACTTGAGTGTGTGTTTCCAGTGTTTAATTCAGGCTTGGGGAGTAACAGATTACATAACACAGGATTACGTATAACGTTATCAGGATTTAGAGAAAAAAGTAACTGTATTCCCTTACAGTTAGATAAAAAAAAGACTGCTCGCAATCATAAAAAGAGTTCCCAACTAGGAATTTCACCTGAAGGCCTACGAAAGAGGCCCTATTCTGCTTTTTGTGGTGTTTCCCTGTCTTGTAGTGTGTTGTATAGGTTTTTGTGCATGTTCAAAGGTTAAAATCCCAAATCTCCCACACACTCCCCCCCCCCTGCTGTTTACTTCAGGAAAACACGCGCTTCTATTGGTTAACGCTCCAACACACAGTACGGCTAAGGGGTGGAACAACCTCTAAGCGGTGGACCAATCACAACAGAGCCGGCCAGCTAACCAATGCGAGCAGACTGGGCTCTGGTTTCAGACAGAGGGTGAAAAGAGGTGCTGCAGCACAGGCAGTATGATAAAAATAAAGACCTTTTTGAACATTAGAGCATGGAGACATGTCCCAGTAGAGGAACTAAATACATATATGAACCAATTACTATATATACATGATCATACATTCTTTTAGGCATCCATGTTGATTCCACATTACATTACAAGTGTTGGTGATGATTTACCCCTGACTTTATTTGCTGTCTGCAGTCTTCTTCCATCTTGGTCAGGGCTGTGCTATGGGACTTTATCAACATCTCCCTGTAAACACACACACACACACACACACACACACACACACACACACACACACACACACACACACACACACACACACACACACACACACACACACACACACACACACAGAAGTAAAGAGCAAGATGTGAAACCACGTTTTCATAGTAACTGCCCAAGGACCAAAAAACTCATTCCCCGACGTGATTCAGCAGCTGTCAACAGTCTTCCTTCCATCTGTTCCTAAAACCATTACTGCTCCAGTGTGAATGCCTTAAGATGCCCATATGAGATCAGATCACATGTTCACACACACTGGCTGCTTTAGCTTCTGGAGGAAATGCACAAAAAAAACCACAACAAATCCATATGTGCTAAAAAGGCTTGAACACGTCTTTAAAAAAAAGATAACATGCAGTGACATGGCATGAGATGTGAGTATTCACACACACACACACACACACACACACACACACACACACACACACACACACACACA